TTCAACAGGCTTCTCTTGAACATCTGCTTTGTGCCAGGCATTGTGGTATACGTGGGGAATACAAAGTCTAAAACCATTCTGCTCCAGCTCTGAAGGGAAGACAGTGTGGTAAATGCTCAGAGTACAGGGTGATATGATGGAAAATATATTCATAGGCTGTTATGAGAGCACAGAGGGGCGGTGGTGTTTTGTGGAAGGAATAAGCAGGGAGGGCTTCCCAGAGGAGGTGATATTTGCACTGAGTTTTGAAGGATGAGGAGGAGTTGCTTCTATGAATCGGGGAAAGAAGGCAATTCAGACAAAAAGAACAATATGTGGGAAGGCCAATGTGCTGATTTCAAGGATTGCCCACCATTCAGCATGTCCAGAGCCCAGTGGCTGTGGAGTGGGGTGTTAGGAGGATGGGGTGGTGGTGAGTGAGGAGGCCGGATAGGTAAACAGTGGCCACTTTGTAAAGAGCACCCCACTGTGCTCCATTTAGGAGTTAAGAGTTTGGCCTTCATCTTAACAGATGGCAAACCATTTTAAGTAGTGGGCAACACAGTCAGATTTGAGTTTTAGAGCATTCACTCTGAAGCCAGGTGGGGAATGGGGGGCAAGTCACTGGGAGCAGGTATAGGAGTGGCCCAGTCCAGAGAAGGAAAGAGCCTGGACTGAGGCAGTCTCACTGGGGAGGGCAGAATGGGATGTTAGAGGTGGAACCTGCTGGCCTTGGTAGATTGAGTGTGGACTGGGGTTGTGTCTACACCACACAACTCCACTTTGAGCTTGCCCCAGAGCCCAGAGGAGAGAGCAGTGGCTCTTTTTAGAAAGAAGGGATTTGGTTGAAGAGGAGCAGGCTTGGTGGTGGCGATTGGGAGGGAGGCCGGGGTGTGTTTGGGGAATGTTGAGTTTGTGGCGCAGCCTGGAGACACAGACGCAGAGTCCTCAGGTGGTGGCCGCAGAGTCCTCAGGTGGTGGCCGCAGAGTCGTCAGGTGGTGGCCACAGAGTCCTCAGGTGGTGGCCGGGAAGTTAGAGGACTGGATGAAGTCGCCTAGCAGGTGGGCGTAGAGTGAGAAGAATAGGACTGAGGATGGATCCTTGGGGGCCACCAAATTTAAGTGGCGACCAGGACAAGAGGAGCCTCAAAAGGGCACAGATGCCAGAGAGTAACTGGGGACGGTGATGCCGTGGAGTCCGGGGAAGGGGCAGGTTTGGAGAAGGGATGCCCACCAGGGCCAAACGCTGCAGGAGGCGCTTAGCGTGCAGTCAGTGCTCATTAGCATTTGTTCCTCTTGACTATTGGGAACGTGGAGGAGAGGGAAACGACTAGGTTTGGAGCGGTCAGGAAGAGCAGGATTTAAAGAAAGACTCTCACATTTATGTAGGGTTTGGGTAAAGGAGGAAAGGTAGGCAGACATCCCAGCTCAAGGCAGCAACTTAGCTGTCATGTGCTAAGACTTCTCTGAGGAGTAGAGGAGACCCGTTTGGGGCCCCAGGAAATTGAGTGCCAGCCCTACCCTCCAGATCCCAGCAGTCTCATCTCCTCAGTGAAGCCGTCTCTGATGTCCCTCATGTCTTCTCTCTGCTTAAGCTGGGAGCCTCTGGCCTTCCTGATTGCCCGTGACACTTAATGCATCCTGCCACTGCGATGCTTAACATCTCCCGCCTTCTACTGCAGTTATCTTTCCAAGTCAGATCTCCCCAGATCTACCCTAAGCTCCCCAAGTGCCAAGTGGCACAGTTTTTGGCCCACAGTGGTCAGTCAATAGACACTAGCTGGGGGAATTGGCAGGTGGGAGCAGTTGGTGGTGCCTGGCAACCGAGTTGTAGAACTGTGCTCTCAGGGCTTCCCTCTTGTTCAGGGAGAACATTTGCATCCCTTCCTAGTAAAGCGTTCAAGAAAAGATTTGTTCTAGTTTGACTCTTCTTTTATCTGTACTTTGTCTTCCTGACTCATCTTCTTTCTCTCCCTTTCTTCATTTCTCTCTTCTTTCCTCCCTCTCTCTCACCTTTCTTCCTCCTTCCCTCTTCCCTGTTTCTTTCTCTATCTCTCACTCTCTTTCCTTGTCTCTCTCTTTCTTCCCAGTTTTTTACCTGTCACTTTCCTCTTACCACAATTGCTATTTGTGTACTCATTCTTATCAGAAAGCACCTGGAAACTCACAAAGCTTGTACTCAATCCTCTATTTTGCCTATGTGCAAAATACAGCTAGCATGCTTTTAATTGGCATGAGTGTTTCTTGTGAAATACTTTGGATCAAACTTCAGCCTGTGTGGGAAGCAGAATCACAAAGAGGTAGCAGGGCATCTCTCTGTCTCATACACACATTTTAATATGTAAGTGCTATCAATCTGTCAGGGGCCAATACAAACAATAGTTGACATTAAAACAGAAAACCCCAAGGTGAATATGATTGCTTTCTGCACCCCAAAGAGGAAGACCCTTTTCTTTCTTGCTTCCATGAATCTTTAATTTGAATACAGATTTCATGAACAGGGTCTGGTGAAAGTTCTGGGCTTTAGCATCAGAAAGATGAGGATAAGACTCTGCTTCAGTGGCCCTGTGGGCAGTTACTGACTGTGTTTTCCCACCTGTGAGTCTGGTTCAGGACTCCTAAGAACTTGGGGAGGATTCAATGAAATACTGTTTGTAAATTACCTAACACCAGGCCTGCATCACAGTGTGGAGGTTTCCTTCTCTCCCCCACTCCACATTCTCACTTCAACTCTTCCTCCCCCATCTTTTATCCTTAATTAGAGCAAAGCATTCAAAAATCAGTCAAATAATCTTTTTATGCAGCAAAAGAACTCCTTTTCCCTTTATTTATCTTAGGATCTGGCTTTGAGTTTGAGTTGGAAAGTGTCCTTGTCTCATGGTATGAGACTTTGGGCCATAGTCTGTGGCCTGCATTACCGGTTATGAGAAGCGGTGATATATGCGTTTACAACAGGCCACTTTGGATTTTAGCAAGAGATACTTGTATCATCTGTGATTCACGATTAGTGAGAGTGCCAAATACAAAGGAGTTAGGTTTTTCTAGCATAGTTACTGTTTTGGTTGGCAGACAATGCAGGCTCCTCACCCACCCTCTTTTTGATTGCAGCCAATGATTGCATAACATTTTCAGATCAGAGTTTTTTTCTTTTTTAAAAGCTAGCTGAGACACGTGGCTCTAGAGGAATCCTCATGGAATCTTAAAACCCTAAGGGAATTCAAGAAGAAAGCTATTCCATTAGCTTGCCTCCAGCTAGGCCTACATTTGAATTATCTAAGAAAGATATTGGTAAGTCCTTCTATTTTTAGGAATAAATAGAAGGCCAATGTATGCCTTTCCTTTAAAATCAAATTCAAAGAGTAACTTTTTTGAGAAGCTGAATAGATCTTATTAAATCAATGAAATGGACCATGGGTTGCATTGCCATGAATAAAGCAGATTAGGAGTGAAGTTGCCTTATCAGCTTAGTCTCCTGGGAGTTAAATAGTAGCAAGAATATTTGGATTTTGCAAACATGAGGATCTAGTTTTGCGGTTTATTGCAGCTGTTGATGCATTCATGGTGGATTCCACCCCCCACCCCCAGGTATTTTGTAGTTTTGATTTGTGATTCATCTTCGGTGGACTTCATCTGTGGGATCCCTTGGGGCCTGGCTGAGGGTGTTCCTCTAAGGAGTGTTTTGTGTTTACTTCTGACAGGTGCTCCAGGACATCTTTCATCTGGGACCACTTATGTCAATCCCATGTCACAGGGTTCCTAGACTCAAGAGTAGTATTGGGTTACTTTGCAACCTAAATGAAAGTCAGTTCCGAATTATGATTTCCTGGGAGACATTTTCTCTTTTCTTTCTTTCTTCTTTTTTTTCCACCTAGAGCCCACACTGAGACCAGCATCCTTGCACAGGGTGGAGTAGCCCTGCAGAGGTCTATTTTATGTGGGGTACTCACTTCTCTTTCTACCCCTCTTGAGTCCAAGATTAAACCCTCCACCCTCTTTGGCCATTAATGTCTAAGCTCCTGGTTCCCACCCTCCTTCAGCACGTGCTAACCTCTCAGTCTGCTCTTTGGTTTTGGCCTCTGGGCATGTCCCATTCTCTCTCTGGGCTCAACCAAGCTTGTAAGAGGATATTTATTATATTTTATCCAACATTTCTAGGTATTTTATCCTGGGAAGGTTTCCAGGCTGTCAGGTTGAATAAGTGGAAGTTGAAGTTTGAAGATTTGGTAAAGTACCAGCTTTGCTCATTGTTTCTCTGGCTTTGCATTTTTTGAGTGATTCCACCTTCTGTAAGATTCTGCTTTCTCCTCTGTAAATGGAGAGGGGGCACTTTATATACTGAAAAGTTTCACAAGAATGCAAGTTCACATTGTAAAGATAGCCTGTGGTGCATGTTGTTGATGCCCTGCCTGGGTCCCCTTGCTGGAAAATGCCCCATTGTCCAGCTTGTGTGAGTGGAGGCTGCCAAGTCTTCTCTGGAGAATTGCATCCAAACTCTTGTCTCAGACCCTACTTTAGACAGCCTAACCTAAGACTTCATCACGATGCTTTCCCCCCACTCCCAGCAATCATAGTTCTTCCAAACATAAATTACCTTGAAAGTTTAGATAAAATTTAATAAACCAGCAAATCGAGATGAAACCACTTACCATATTTTTGAAATTATCTAATTTTTGGTATCTTAATTTTTCACCTGTGAGCACATAACGCATATATGAATTTTTTTGAGGTTCAGTGGAGTTAGACTTTGGTGGGTCTGGGCATAAAAGTATGGGTAGGAAAGGTTATTTGGACCAATCCAATTCGAAATTAAGGACTAAAAGCTTTAGAGATCACTTTAAAACACACATTGATTCATTCTCTCTCTCATATAAATTGTGGAGAGTTTTATATACACTCTCTTGGCTCTTGACTACAGCCAGATTTGTAAGTGCTGAGAACTGAAAACCAGTGTGGGAGGAAATGCTAATATGTTGTCCCCGGGTTTGTGCTTGGGAAGCATGAAATTCAAAGAGACCAAGGTATTCTCAGGAGTGAACATGTCCCTTTATTCAAATAAGCAAGAACAAGTTTAGAACTGAAATTGTGAAAGGGATCTTAGAGCTCCAAGCAGAATGGTGGACCTAGAAAAAGGTTGTTTCAGACCCTTGCCAGCACAGATTTTGATTCAAAATCTCAGAGCTTCCCTTTTTTTGTGCAGATTAAACACGCCTGTTACATTGCCTGCTCCAAGGCTCTCAATAAATGCTAATTATCTTACGTTATTGATGATGATGATGATGACAGTATGAACATTTCCATTATTATCATCATTTTCATTTTCATTACAGACTGCATCTTCCCAATAAAAGTTGTGCTGCAGGGCCTGGAGTTTTGATTTTAGAGATCTGCGAAATAAGAGGATATTGTTACAATTGCTGAGTTTTCCAATTATAGCATTTTGCGCCAGAGAGCTTGGTGCTTTGTAGATTCATAGGCAAGAATAATTCTCCCACCCATCCTCTCCCTTCCCAGTTCATTTCTACTCCCCTTCTTGGAAAGGGAAGAAAGAAGCTTAAGGCATGATATCAAACTGAATGCAGGATCTTGATTCTTGTTTCTGCAATGTTACTGTGATGTTCTGAAGGACCCGGTTCTCCCTCTGCACATTGGCCTGAGTCCATACTTGGGTTTGGGCATCACCCTTAACAAAAATTTATACCCAGAATCTCATTAGTAGTCCTGTTGATTTTGCTTCTTAAACACCTCCCTAGTGTTACTGCTTCTGTCCATGTCCACTATTGACACCACAATTGATGTCACAGGATCCTCTCCCCTAGGTTTCATTCCAAATGTTCTCCACTCAGGAGCCAGAATGAATTTTTCAAAATGTCAATCCGACAACTTCCCGCCTCCCCACCTCTCCCACCCTGTCCCAAGCCCTCAGTGGCGTCCCATAGCTCTTAGAACTGCTCCTGCATGGCTGGAGAGGGCCCTGCTTGCCTCTCTGGCTTCGACACCAGTCCCACATTGTTGTCCTGGCTCTGGCCACACTGACCTTCTTGATTTTTGTCCTACTCTGCTCTGCCACAGGGCCTTTGCACGTGAAATACCCCCACCGTAGGAAGGTCCCATTACACTACTTAACCCTTACTTGTCCACATCTCAGGGGAGTCTTCCCTGAATCCTTGACTGGGCCCAATTACCCTATCAGATTCGTTCCTAGCACTCCATCGTCTCCCCCACTTGATCATACACACTCCACAGGGCCAGAGAGTATGTCTGGTTTTGGTCTTCCCTGTATCCCCAGGGCCTACAATGCCCTGGCACATAAGGGCTCCATGCATGTTTGTTGAATGAATAAAAGAAATGAGGGAAATGCAGGAACCGAAGACAGAGCGACTGGCCCCCTCTCTTAGACACTCCTCCTGCAACTGAAAACATGACTTCTGTGAGTCTCTGAGACATTGTCACATTAGGAGGAGTCAGATGGAGTGGCTGACACAGCTTTTGCATGTGATCATGCTCGGATCTCAGATAAGGAGGGATGGAAACTCTCCTTCTCTTTACATTTAGAAGAATAAATTTGATAGTACTCGTAAACCTTCCCTGCTAAACACTATCCTTCCCCACTCAGCTCCGCATGCTCTGCTGCCCTCCTGCACCGTGTGTGGGTGTGTGGGGGGTCGTGGGTCCCTCTCATCCTACCTGCTGCTGGGCCAGCTCTGGTGACTGCACTGCCACCACCACAAGGGCGAAGTGGCCCGGTGCTCCTCTGCTTGTTTACGAGGCTCAGTTAAGGAATACCTGATATAAATGACCTGCACCGTGTTTGTGCCTTTATTACATTTCGTCCCTAAAGGAATGAAGCTTTCTGGAAAATGTGTTTCAGCAGGGCAAGTCACAGCTAGAATTTTATCATTTGTTTACAGATGAGTATTAAAAACATTTGTCTTTAATGTTTTTGTGGGAATATCATATGTGGGAAATGTAGGTGATTTTATATTATTTTGAAATCCAAGTTCAGTTTCATAAGATCAATATTTAATAGGAAATATATGAAATTGTAATTCATATACATTTTTCAGTGTCTGACTATATATATCTATATGGTTCATAAAATGAAAATGTAGTTGCAAATGTATGAAATTCTAATTTTTATATATAGTATTTTTCCAGTGTGCTCTCTTTCTGTGTGTGTGTGTATTTTTTTTTTAAATTCCACATGACCAAAATTTTGTATCTGAGGATTGGAGTAAACATGTACATAAAATAGACCATTTTGTATAGCTAAGGGCATCGAACTGTTTTCCCCAGATAATTTTGTTTATTTCTTATTTCACATTTGAAGGATATTCTTCAGTATCCTAAAGTCATTATGCAATTTGATTGTTTATGTAAATGTCTTCAAGGGATTCTGAACAAGATATATTTCAGTGTTTGTTATGTTATGTAGAAATGTTCATAAATCATGTTAATTAGAAAAAGAATAGGAAATGAATAATCCGCCTGCAGATTTGATTCCATGATCAACCATCCAAAGTCAACTGGAAAAACCCAAGACGATGGAAACTTAGTGGAGGTTTTTTGTTTTTGTTTTGTTTTTCTTCTAAAAGGTATGTAGAAAAGGATACATAATGAGTGAGGTGTGCACCATCTGGGGGATGGTCATGATGGAGACTCAGACTTTTGGGGGGAGGGGGGGAAATGGGCATTTATTGAAACCTTAGAATCTGTACCCCCATAATATGCCGAAACAAAAAAAAAATAAAATAAAAAAAAAATAAAAGGTATGTAGAAAAGGCATGACATAAAAAGTGGAGAAAGAGTCTATCTTAAAAACTCAGTGTCCTAAAAGCTATTCAGTCGTAAGTGAAAATGACAATAAAATGGCAAGGATTTCTGGAGTGAGTTTCTCAGAAAAGGGAGTACCTCTCTTTTTAAGGATATTCACATTTGGAGAGGAAATCGAAAGTTGATGTCATTTTCCAACACTGTTCAGAATACAGGCTTTAAAGTTTCATTTTCTTAAACTTTTCATAGTCCTTAAAATCATTTGGCACTTTGGAAATTTTACTTTCCTCTGTTGTGTCTTGACAACTGGTGAATGCCCAGAAAACCCAGATTATGGAGGAGGTTGGAACACATGTTTTATAACTTCAAAACATTTTTTACATTCTTATCTCTACTAGAAAACTTTATGGAGCCAGTGAATAGAGACTTTAACTGCAGAATTCTACTTTAGGTGCTCTTAAGCAGCTCTTGTTCTTTTTCCATTATCTTCACAGATGTCTAGAGCTTACGCAAGGCAGGGAGGGATGGGGCGCTCAAGTTTATGGAAGTGGGAGGAACAGTTTCCTTGCTAGTTTACATATGCATTTTGAGAAATCAAAGGGACAAATTTTTCTCTTGTTGCTCTTTATAGTATAATTGCTACTTAGTTTGAAAGCAGCGGTGCTTTACTGTTTATATATTCTGAACCAAGTTTATTCAAATTGAATTTTAAGGAGAATCCTGAATTTTGGTTCACTTTTTTTGTTGTAGACTCATACTTAATCAGACTAATCTTTAGGCATTTGCCCCCTAGTTATATTATTTTAGAAGTTATCGCCATTCCAGCTTAGTCTTGAAATTAAAAAGGAAAAGGATTTACCTTCCCTCTACCTTCCAAATTCATTTCTGTCTGGGTCTGTTTTCTGCTGCTGTCACGGAGTGCCTGAGTTGGCTCACACACCTGGAGGCTGGGAAGTCCAAGATCCGGGTCCACATCTGGCGAGGGCCTTATTGTTGCATCACAAGGTGGTGGAAGGCACCATGTGGCGTGGATGCAGGTGCGCCAGACAGAGAGCAAGACTGGGAGGGGCCAGACCCCTTCTTTTAATCAGGAACCAACTCCTGTGAAAACAAATTCACTCCTGGGATAATGGCATGAATCCATTCATGAAGACAGAGCCCTCGTGACCTGATCACCCTTTAAAGGTCCCGCCTCTCAACACAGTTGCAATGTCAATTAAATTTCAACCTGAGTTTTGGAGGGGACCTTTAAACCACAGCAGTTTCCTTTTTATTTCTCTGTTAGTCTCTGTGTATTGAAAGTAGCTCAGTATTGGAATTTCTTAGGTGTAAAGTTGAGGAACAAATGAAAAATCTCCCAAGTAAGGGGGAGTTACTTTGTCAAAGCCTGGAAAATACCTCTCTTATGGCCCTGGCCAGTTTCTCCATCTGCTGCAGAGAGTGGGAAGCGTTAACCCCCCCCCCTGATAAATTGGTGAGGGTGATTTGGGTAGAAAATTGGAAAAATGCATCTGATTAATTTTTTGTAATATGCCCAACTGGGAGTGGAGAGGTGCAGGGTTTCCCTCACTGTTCTTACCTCTTTAGGCCTTCAAAGAGAGCACCAAGGAATGCAAGAAGAAGCATGGGTTATGGGGTTAGTTGTTTCAATCCCAGGTCTCTATTTACCAACCATGTGGTCATTTACAAGTAGCCCGAGCCTTTGTTTCTTTTGGGACATAACAATGAAACGATGAGAACGGAATGTGTATTTGCCTACTGTGTGTATAGTGAGTACCAGGTTTCTTCCCTCTTCCCTCTGGAAGTTGGTAAGCGGGTCAGAAGTGGGGAGAAATGGGGCTGGAGCAGCAAGGTGAACTACACCAGGGGACCTCAGAGTGAGATAGTGCATGGTGCGTTTGTAGATGGAGTTGGAGATTTCTTTAGCCAGGGTGGCTAGGTGAGTTGGGCAAGAAACAAGGAGGAAAGAGAGTATTTTCATATGAGAAATTGTGATGGGGTGGCCTGTAATGGACTGTGATGTGTGTAGGATATCTGAAGGAGACTGCAGAGTCGCCCTGGATGGTTGTTATATAGCAAGAAGATGCCATGTGTGGCTGTCAGTGCCATAGTTTTAAAGACTTCCGATGAGAATGTGAACAGGCCCTCTGAACACACTTTCTGGCTGAGAAGAAGCCAACCAGTAACGAGCGACGAGACACTGCCTGGGATTCAGAGCACTGTGCTTTGAGCCCCGGTGGGTGAATACTTAACTGTGAACGGCAGGAGCCTGTGGGGGAGCCGGGACAGGAGGTGGGGCTGGGGCTGGTTGGGGTCACAGTAGGTCTGAGACATCCAAGGACAGGCACCCTTGTTCAGGGGTGTTCTAAGGAGGAAAGGAGTAAGGCGCATGAGTGGTAGTCACTGGGTGTCCACCCCAAGCAAGGGTGTGCCCCAGGCAGGCCCCTAGGGAGCCTGGTGTCTGTGAGGAAGTGGAGCCTCCCTGGGGACACCCCCTTTTCTTACCATTCACTTATGTCTTCCATCTTCTGGAACAGGAGCTTCTGTCCTCAGAGTTTCTGGGGAGCGTTCAGAGGCCTGTGGAAAAAGAGTTGGCAAGTGGAGGCAGATTCCCCTTGCGTTTGGAGATCCCAGCAGTCCTACACTGTCACACGCCCCACACAGAATTTGTTAACATCTTAGTTGTTTTCTTCTCACCTGCTTTTCTGGCTACCACCTCTTTCTCCCACGGGCCGTCAGAGGTGCATACAAACAGTGCGTATGTGCGTCCTCCCTCCCCCAGTCAAAAATGTCACCCTTTGGAAGTCAGTTCACTTCATTGTCCTTCAACCTCAACATTCTAATGGGCTCAAAAGATTATGATTTTGTGGATTTATTTTTCTTATTGTCAGGGTGGGCGTGCCATTCTCTTACAGCTTTCTATATCCTCAGCAGAAATGAAACTGGGAAATGGTATTCAAAAAGCAAAAGTTAAGAGCTAAGTATGCTGGTTGCCTCTGGGGTATCATTGTTTCTGGCAGGCCTGCCTTTTCTGATTATCTCAGCCTGCTAGAAGTTTCTCTCTGTTCCAAACACCCTTACCATTCTCGTGGATATCCATCAATGAGTCTCAGGGTGGAAGACACCATGATGGCCATTTTGTCCAGTCCCACATTTTAGTCTCAAGTCCACACCTACTGCACCGTGGCATCTTTCCAACCTTTTATTTAAATATTACATTCTTCAGCTCAGTGTGTATATGTATGTCCATCTTCACCCCGATTCTGTTGCTTTATATAAATTGGTGGCTGCAACAGTATCATGCACAGAAAAGTTGATATCGATTTGATTGGAAGGAATGTTCTCGACTGGAAGACAGGGAGGGAAGAGCTATTTTGTCTGTTTTCCCCACATTTTTAAATGTATCGCCAGAGACAATTTTAGGAGGCAATTGGGTTAAATTAGTAGCTGGAAGAAAAAAAACCCCAGTAGCCAGAAGTAACCTGGACATTAAAACTCTTGGACTCTGACCACAATATTGAACACTATGGTGACCATCTTGGGGTTAAAAGGTTGGGAAGAGGGTGGACTGAGTAGCAATGTATTTTTGGCCTGCTTAGAATTATAGTTGCCTTTGGAAATTTTTGGTAAGCTGCCATAGATCAGGATTAGAATAAAGACCATAAATATGGTTCAAAAATGTTCTTTCGACACTTCATTATATGGTTTGCTATTGGCTTTAGTGATAGTGCATTATCTGAACTGATGTAAATAGTATTTAAGTTCATCTTTTCCTATGAGTAATAAGTATTGTATGTAGAGATTTCCGTTTCTATTGCTTAAATAGATCACCACAGTAGTTTGGTACACAGTTGCCATGCATATAATTACTGCATGACTATTATTAGGAAAATTGTGTGGGTAAAATCAACCCTGCTATTTGGTTCTGTCTGAACCTTACTGCCCTCTGCTAAGCAATGTGGGGTTAAAACAAGTACCAGAGTATTTCTGACCTTGCCTTTTTGGAGGTGAGCTCAATTCTCTCTTCTCTATGCAGCCCCAAAAGCTGCAATAGGAGTTTCCACCAGAGGGGAAGAACAATTAAAAAATACCCCACACCATTATTATGCCAAATATGATTCATTGCCAGTGAACCTGACTCTGGAGTAAACTATCTCTTTTCAACTAGTATCCTCTTATATATATCATTATGAGTTACAGTCGTCAGCTAAGTTACAAAATAATTCCCAAAACAAAGTTGGGAGTATTGTATACTGACAGTGTGCATGAAATTATAAAAGAAATTTTGGCATATGTTAGGTGACATGATTGAGCTTTTGCAAGCTGGCATTTCCAAGTTGTATAAAAGGTACACCAATTTATCAAATGCATTGTGTTTATATGATTATTTTATCAGCTATCTGTTGATATCTGATTATATCTGCACAATAATACTGAGTAACAATCCCAAAAGCTCACCAGCATATAAAAAGATATATTTACATTTATATAAATATACAATACACAATAGTTCATGATCTATGGGTCAGCTGGGTAGTTCTTCTAGTCTTGGCTGGGGGGCTCACTCCTGTGTTACGTGTGGCCTTTCCACCCCGCCCAGTTGGTTGGTCTGGGAATAGCTAAGCTAACTCGCTCACCTCTACATGGTCTTTCATCTTCCAGCAGACTAACCTAGGCTTGTTCTTTTAGTGCTGTCAGGGTATTAAGAAAGTAGGCGGGCAGAAGGCCGTATGAAACCCGTGCTTGAAACTAGCACACCATTTCTTCTGCTGTGTTCTGTTGGCCAAAGCAATTCACAAATACAGCCCAGGTTCAAAAGGTGGGGAAAGAGACTGCTTCTCAATGTCCTATAGCAAAGAGTATGAATATTGGGATAGGTGAGCATTGGCGCTATTTTTACAATCAGTCTCATTCTGGTTACTACTGCTGCTTAACACATTCTCTAAAACTTAGTGATTCCCGGCCTGTAGTTTCTGCCTGGTTCCTGTAGGACATTCACTCTCAGGAAAGCTATCTGTTCTGTTGGAAGTTTAACTACTTACACGCAGGAAAAGTCATACGTAGCCTGGGAAGCCACAAGTCTTCACTTCCTGCACCTTCTATTGGTAACAGACCATTAGGGAAGTGAAATACACCCCACCTCTTGGTACAAGGAATGTTGAAGAGTTGAAGAGTTTGGAATCTACCACAATTATTCATGAAGATAAATCTTAGTTCCCTTATTCTGTGATGTTAAGTCACAGTGCTGTTATCTTTGTATCTTTAGCACTCACCATTCACATTAAATATTATAAATTCACATTTACAATTTACACATATAGATTTTTTTTTCTTATTTTGTACGGTTTGGTGTATTTAAAACTAACCCAGGAAATGATTAAAGATCACTGTATATTTCATTCAAATTTTCAATAATCTTTGAGAAAAATGTATCATGTATACTTTCTATATAGTATAAATTAGTGTATATATTTGTTCTTCAGTTTTTCAAGTCATTATATGTATATATGTTTAGGGAAAACACAAAAATGCTTGTAATTTAAAAAAATAATTATCTACAAATTCATCATAATTTGCTTAGCAGTTTCCCAGTTTGAGTATCTCTGTTATTTACAATTACACTAACTTAATAGCACCCTATATTGTTTATTTATTGCAATGTAACACATTACTGCAAAACTTAACTTCTTAAAGCAATAAACATTTACTATCTCAGGCAGTTTCTCTGGGTCAGGAGTGGCTTAGCTTCTCATTAGTTCTCTCATGAGGCTGCAGTCAAGCTGTGGCTTGGGGCTGCAGTCTCATGTGAGAGCTTCACTGGGGTGGGAGGATCCACTTCCACCTTTACTCACAGGACAGCTGGCAGGGGACTTCAGTTTCTGGCCACCTGGGTCTCCACCGGGCTACTCATGACATGGCAGCTGACTTCCCTTAGAATGAGTGATGAGAGAAGGAGAACAAAGAGAGAGAGAGAGAGAGAAAGAGAGAGAACCCAAATGGAAGCCGTAGTTTTTATAATATAACCTAATCTTAGAAGTGATATAACTTCACCTCTGCCATATTCTGTTGGTCGCACAGCCCAACCCTGGTGCTGTGTGGGAGGGGACTGTACATGGGTGTGAATGCTGCAGGTGGGGATAATTGGCCAGGTCATCTGGGAGCCTGGATTCTACACATTGCTGGAAACATCTTCCCACAAATTGATTTTTATTGGTAAATGGCAAGGGCCATTGACTTTCAGCCTGTCCCCCTAATGTGAAATTACTGTATCATAGAGATCAACAAATTAATGGCCCTTTTTTCCTTTTTATGGCATTCTTACACATATAAATAGATATATATTTTTACATTGTAAGATATTCTTATATTTTGCATTTTTTATATACTGAGTCTTATGTTTTTAATATGAACATAAAATACTTCAGTACATTTCACAAAGCGTGTAGTTGCTGGGGTACTTCTAGAAAGTGCCCTCACCTGGCTATGGTTTGGGTTTGGGAGAAGAAAGAAGGGAGAGGGAAACGGCTGAGTTCTATCATCTGGCAGACCCTTTCCTTTTTTGTTTTATTTGGTGCCTGGTTTCTATAAATTAGGCCACGCTGTCCCCAACCTAATGTAAGCCACTGCCATTAATAGTTCCTTTAACAGGAGCAATTTTAATTGGCAATAAACTTGACCATTGCAAAACAGAATGTGTCCTTCACCATTCATGCTCAGTTACACCCGAAGCAATGGAAAGGACACGTGCTCTAGACCAGCGTTCTGGAAGGGCTGTTCTAGAACATCAGGCGATTTTTGAAGCCTTTATTACAATATGTGAACTAATTTAACATGCTATAAATGAATGCGCCTATGTTTTGTGAATTTTGCAGTTTATGTGACATAAAATGTAACTGGTTCATTTTCATGTTTGTAAAGATCTTTTCAGCCTTTCTAGAAATCCATCTGGATTCATTTATATGATGCCCTTTCCATCATTTCGAAATTTAATAAATTTTATAGCAGCTTTCCTGTTGTGGGGGCGCTCAGTAGATTGCCATCACTGAGTTAAGTGATGGGGTAATAGGGACAGAACTCTGGTCGTTGGCACTAATGACAGGGTTTGCACTGATGATGGAGTCCCAGGAGCAGGGGTGGGAGGGGACCCTGTGGGAGGAGTGCGTGGGGAGGGGCTGCCCCTTCCAGTGGCCATGAGGAGTGTGCTGCACAAATAGACCTACCTGTGCCTGGGTGGTCCTCTCTCTGCCCCCTTCTGCTGTTAGAGACTTCGAAGAGCTGCCAAAGTACCTATAGAAGGTGTTTGATTTAACAGGAAGCACACCAGCTATGCCTTCTTGTAGGGGCATGTGAGCGAGCAAGCAGAGTTCGCAGCTGTGCGGAGGGATGAAGAAAAACTCTTTGAGAATTTCACAGCATTTTGAAAACAAAAAATCATGCCAAGAGGGCCTTTGAGCAAGAAATTCTTGCAGATTTATGACACCCGGTGCCTGAACTCGACGCGTGACACCAGGGTTACGGCTCTGTAAGCTCTTAACCCTGTAGCTGACCCGGTCAGCTTCTGGCCACATTCGGGGCTGGTGCAGTTTGCTGCGGTTGTTTGTAGACCTCAGAGAAGCAAGATGATTATTTACAGATTTCCAGAATCTCTGCTGGATTCTTCACTTTCCCTTTCGTACAAGGAAACTTTCCAGGATATAGAGCACAACAGGATTGGAACGGTAGTGCATTCTCTTTGACATATCTCTTTGTGGGGAGGGGGGTTCACTAGCATGGGGGGATGGTCAGAAGCAGCCCCTGTAGCTTCTGCTCAAGGATTAGAGACAGGCACGTGCAAGAAACTCCATTAGTGATGAGAGCATATTCGTGTATACTAGAGTGTGTGTGTGTGTGTGTGTGTGTGTGTGTGTATGAATGATAAAATATGTTAATAGTTTGTAATAATAAAAGATCGAACATAATTGTCCATCAGAGACACTGTTAAATAAACTATCATATATCTGCACAGCAGAACACTATGCAGCTCCAAACAAGATGTGCCAATGTGGATCAACTGCAACACTTAGGTGTAAAAAGCAAGATGCAAAACAGAGCATATATATGAAGTATCTATTGTATTTAAAGAAAAATAAAGGAGTACATGCTTCTTTGCTTGACTAGTATAACATTTGTCTGGAGGGCTATATGAGGAGCTAATAATATTAGTTGTCTACAGGAAGGGACCTGAGTACCTGGAGGACACAGTGGGTGGGATACTGTTCACCGTATAGCCTTCTGTGCCTTTTGAATTTTGAATACATAAAAATATATTGAAAGAAAATCATGTTGGGACGAGGCTTGGGGGAATCGAGGCTTGGGAGGCAGGTGACTAGGGAACCCCAAGAGAGCAGAGAGCCACGCCCCTGCCTCACCCCTCCTTTATTTTAACCATTACATTCCCAGGGTAGAACCTCAATAAATATTTGTTAACTGGAAAAATACGTAGCACATGGAAAATCACACTTTATTTTTATCTTAATGTGCATATTCCATGCTTAAAACAAAAAGAGGAATTCAGAATCAAAAGTGTTCTTGGTTGGGAGAAAACGAGTTTGGTTTTGGACACATCAGTTTTATCCATGTTTCCTCAACATTTTTCCTATTCTGTGTAAAGTCCTGTCTTCAGATTTAAATAGTTGATTATATGAATTGAAATTCTAGAATGAGAGGATCTTACTGCTAGCTGGATACTCACAGGCTTTGCAGTCAGAGACAGGCTGAGTCCTGAGTCCTCTTTTCTCTCCACCAGGCTCAGCCTCCCACCTTCCCCCAGCTCTGCCTCCTGGGACATTTCATTGCCCATGAGCTGCAGACCTAGTGTGCCTCATGCCAAAGCATAAACTCTTTGAGGTGGCTTGGCTGGGACCTACATGGTGCCATCATTCTGCAATGCAGAGTACTGTTGGTGCCTCTGAATGGGCTACCTGGGATGTAGATGGAGTGTTTGAAATTGCATATTGTGTTGTTTTCACCTGGATTTGCACATGAGTTAAAATTCCCAGGAGATGGCAAGAAAAGTAAACAAATGCCCTATAATTCACATAGTCCCCTAATTGGTCCCAAACAGTGAATTTCAGCCTCACAATCACCATGAAGGAGGATGAATGGCAGCTGATGTCAACATGACCTTTCAGGGGAAATGTGAGTAGACACCCAGACAAAGGGGTTGTGCAAACAGGGGGACCCTTGCACTCAGTTGAGGGGTGTGTCTCAGTCTGGGGGAAGAATAATTGAAATTCAAATGGAGCACGTTTTACTGAAAAAAGAGGGTAAAAAGCAAGTTTCTTTCCAGACCCCTGGTGAGGGCATTTCTGCAAAGCCTAACGTGTAAAGGGAGTTAATAGCTGCCTGTGCATATTATATAGCTAATTCCAATTAAAATAAAATTTTTCTAAGAAACCAAATCCAAACAAGAGTGATGCTATCAAA